CAGTGCCCAGCTAATTCCGCACCGCCTCTGCTGCGCATCGCGCCTTGACCTCGCTTGTCGAATGCTATTGCATACGTCAAACAAATTCTCTCGGTCTTCGAGCAACCCTGGGGCTAGTTGACTTGTACATTTGCGTATTTTGCACTCATATCTTTTTATTCTGTATTGTGTAATAGTTCAATGAATGTTAGTGCCTCTTCCATGGTTAGATGTTTTGAATGATACTCATGTTTTAACTACAACTGATCGTGCCTGCAATTATGCGAAAGGTTGAGAGTACATTGATGAGGTTGCTATTACTCGTTGACGAAAGGCTGACGCGCGCGCGTCAGCATCTTGGTACTAGTTTTCAATGCCCGATTTCTTTTAGAATTTTTCTGTTATTGTCCTATAAACAATACATCATCATAACTACGAACGATTTCTTTCATGGCAAGGTTAGACAAGCATCAATTGAGCACATATTTTCCAAATCTCACTAGATTTAGTTTAATTCAAAATTCGCCTTTTATTTTAGGCTAACAGCAAATAAAAAGAAAGCTTGAATGCGGATAACATCAGATAAAATTAAAGAGTTCCATCCTATGAATAGAGTGATTAGTGTTTCTTTTTTATATCGAATAAGCGGCAATAGCAAAAAACTTTCTACATCTACTGCAGGCCTTATCATTTTTGGGCTGCCGTAAGAGATCCTTGTTCTTATAACTTACTGTACAACATCCTGAACACCTCCTCCTACCACCTCCTTTCGAACCATTAGCTACTTCCTCTCGCACTTTTCGCGTGAGAAGCAGCTGTCTTGAAGTGTATTCATGCTCAGCTTTAGCACTGGTTCGACCTAGTTCCACATTGGAGTCATCTGTATGACGAGATAGTGTGAACATGCACATTCAGCTTTCCGCGATTGCCATTCGAATCGGCCGACTTTACTATCACCCCATTCCCCGAACTGGCTACAGCCCCCGAAACTCCCGAATTCCTCAATTGGTAATGGTTCATCACCACTGTTGGCGACTGAGGTGAGGTAGAAGAAGGACATCGGCGGTGGAGTGAGGCACAGAGGACACGGCAGAGATGTGTAGTACTACAAGGGCCCAGCACCCTATCGTCGCATGTGGAATGACTGTTGGCTGCAGCGAGCCTAGTGAGGCCTTCTCCCTATCTGATAACCTGATGACTATATACTGTTTGTATTGCTACAAGAAAGAACACTAAATTCTAAGATCTTCCACACTAGATACAACAATGAATAACACAACTATATTATATAGAGGATAAAACTGAGGTAGAGGCTGAGGAATTCGAATGCACGACCGCTCGGTGAGACGACAGGATGACGACTATTGGTAGACCGGCGCGGGCCTAGCACAGATGCAGAGCAACTTCCCGCACTTCTGCCTTGGAAGCGTTTTTTTTTCGCACTCGCGTCTTCTTGCACGTACAGTCGATATCCGAAAATTGGGGTGGGTGTGTCACTGGTTGCCAGCATGCTTTGCTGATAGCCAGCGATGTATGTTGGAAGCAGCTTATCCACATAGTTTCTATCAAGTGCACGTCACTTCCGGTGACACGCCCACCCCAACTCACCGATATCGAGTATAGAAAAGATAAAGACGAGAGTTACAACATACAGTACTCCGACGAAAGGGTCACAGAGCGTCTTCGTCGAAAGCAATTTTTGCTTTGGTACTTTTCATTTGGGCTCCGAAAGCACACCTAGTCGAATTGACGCGTTTGCGCGTCACACAAATCACACTCGCCAAATCGCGTAGTCAAAGGCGGAGAAAAAAGCCAAACTCTGTCGTCAGTGTGTTAATTCGTTTGCAAAACAGGAAACTGAGGAAAACTGTTGACGGTTTTTGCTCAAGCATGGGATTTAAATATGAAACAGTAGGTATCTGTTGGCACGCCGACGTAGCAGCGGGAATAGTTGATCGAAGAAGGCAAAGTTCTTAGCCGCTGACACCTTTCTACTTTGAGTGTCAGAAAGGGCTCTACCCATACATACGGTTACTGACCTAGCAATCTTAGCATTAACGTGGTGAACCTATCCAATGATTTAGCTTAGCAGAAGATGCATGTAAGAAACGGTTGCTACAATAAACTTCAGCAGATTTAGCATCAGCTATTCGCCAATCGTTTGAGTTTTACCTTGTACACAGCTTTCTCTATATACGCGTTTCCTACAGCTTTTTCGAAGGTTTTTAATAATTTTGGAGCAGGTGGCAGATAAGGAGTGTCACACTTCTGTGAAAGTTCAACGTGCAGCTGCTGGACATGAAGAAATGCCCAATAGTTCGACTCTTGACGACATGGCCATCGCTAGTAGCAGTCAGGAACACTTCAAACAAAATTCAAAGGTATGGTTACCAGTGCTTGTTTCGATTCCAACGCAATTATTGGTTGAGTACCAACAAGTTGTTCGGTGAATGGCAAAAAAAATTTGGCTCAGCGTTCCCCAATTTAAAGCAAGCGCATCATCGCTGTCGAGCACACAGGTTTTTTTTTGCACTGGTGAGCCTTTTGAAGAGCACATCGCAAAAAGGCACTGTGAGTTAGTATATAATGAATCCTTGTTATAATTTCACGCAACCATCGAAGTGTCCATTTAATTCTCAGTGAATTCCTTCTGCTGAAGAGACTTGAATCCTATCATAATAAAGAGAGCTTGCTCTGACCCCGAAAAATATTAGGCTGGCCAGATTGAAATGTCGTTTTCGATCATCAATTATTTTCATTATAAAAACAATAATGAAGCACATCAACCTGAACCATCTCCTTCACCTGTGTCACAGGCTCATCACCTTTCGTTACGCAAAGCATGGATGCCTACCGCGTAGAACTCTTTCTGGTTCGACTCGAAGAAGTTGGGCACTCAAATTTTGACGTCGTCGCGGTTATCGAATTGGTTTGCTGCTAAGGAGTGTTGCGCTGACCTGGGTCAGTGATAGTCGGACGGCGCCAGACCTGGGCTATATGGCGCTGGAGGTAGAACGTCCCAGCCCAACTCCTCGATTTCTTGTTGCGTGATTTTCACGACATGTGGTCTTCCGTTATGGTGCAATAGTTTTACATTGGCCGAATTCACCCCTTGACGACGCAGAGCTCGGTCCACGCGGGCGGGCTGTTGTGCGCAGGCTTAACTGTCTGACCCACAATCAGCTCTCCATAGTAGGCCAGTCTTATACTGTTCCACCACACCGTAGCACGACTTTTCTCAGTGGATGTCCGGTTTCAGAGAGGCCCTCAGCTGCCCATCAGCCGCCAACCACGGTCATCTTCTCGCGTTGTTATTGGGAAACATCTCTTTGTAAAATGCGGTCAACACGAAGTCAAGAACCTTTTTCCTCTTGAAGTTATGGAGCGAAGTTCCAGTATTGGCAACCAGTACTGCTTGCTCGCGTCGCTCAGAATAGGCCAAACCCATTTTCTATCCTGAAAGGCCTTAACAGTCGCACGTAGGAACTTTTAAATTTTTCTGTTGACACAACTGAATCTCCATGCAAGTTTTGTGCGGTTTGTCGAGGACTCAATTCGTTGGCTTTCTTTATTTCTCCGTCATCTAGAGCTAGAGGTCAAAATCCACGATCTTCGTCCTCAGTATGCGTATAACTCGTATAA